CGATCGACACATTTTTATTTCAATTAGAATATTTTAAAAATATTTTAATGGAGAGAGGTGGAAGTAGTAGCACTCGTTGGAGTAGAAACTAGAAGAATTATTCGCCAGAGACCAGGTAACATCGCCCATGCGAATAAAATTTAATTAATTTTAATTTTAAACAATTTAAATTAAATCAGGTTAAAATTATAAAATTTAAATTATTGGCTGAACGCCAGGCGGAGAGTTCAGATAATTCAGAGTTGATTATATTGGAGCATTCAAAAATGACAAATTCATCCAATACACAAAATATTCAAAGTTATGTATATGGAAAAATGTTGTTAGATTTGTTTAGGGGGTCTAATTATTCGAAAACTTTATTATCTTCTTGAAAAATTTTATTATCTTCTTTTATTACATTCTTGAAAAGTTGATGAATGAGTTACATTCATTTAAGAATCAACTCTTGTACTGATACTAGTGATTTAATTTTTTAAATAATGACAACAATTCACTATATTCTTTGATCTGCTTCTTTAGAAATCTCTAAAAAAATAAATTAAATAATTTAAACAGTATCTACTGGAAAACTGGAAAAAATGTTTGTTTCAATGCGATTAAGTATCATTGTATCAATAAGACTACACGTGTATGTATCCAATGGTTGTCAATAATATTGAAATAAATTAACAAATTCTCACCTCTTAAACATCTGCGTTAAACTATAATATTACGATTAACACTTTTATAAAAATGTTTCAATCTACTGAACTAAACAATTCTGAAATATTGGTGATGGTATTAAAAATTAGAAATGACAAAATTGAGTGAGTTATTACAATGAAGATAAGGTTTGTCAAATTTTAATTTCTCATTTCTCATCTAACCTCAGCCTAAACAAAATCATAGCCATAGATGGGGTAGCTCCAATAACTGGCACCAACTTCCGGCAAGGATTGATAGGTCTTCCAACTTCTGGCATCTTTCAATTCACAGCTGCATCTACTATTAGGCAGCAGCTGTCGCATGTTGAATCCAGCACACATCCAGTTCCTCATGCACATCAGCAGGCAGAACCACTTGGAACATTTCTCGCCGTGCACAACTCCCAAGTTGTTGCTTACTACGAAGCTGTTGATCAGACGTCTGATGGCTTTTTTCTGAGTTGGCACTGCAAGAAAAATTTATCTGAGATAATTTTACATAAATAAACTTAAAATTAAACATTCCATTAGTTAATGCGGCATTTTTATTGGTGCCGGATCAACCTGTTTATGCGTAAAATTTGAAGGCTTCGATTTAAAATTGATGAACATTAACGTTTAACTGAGACTGGTCTCTCGCATATGTAATTTTGAGCAGAAGTTGGTTCCTTATCTCTCCATTTCCCAGCTGCAACAAACTTCGAGCTACACGTTGCAGTATCTGGGTCGTTAGCAGGACCACCATTATCCCAATTTGTATATATGAAATCAGTTCCATCCAACCAAACGGACCAATTCTTTAGCAAAAGGAATTCATTTTCCTTAGCAGATCCAATGTTATTGTTTCAAATTTTGAGTAATTAAATTAATAAAAACACAAAAAAATGATTAATTTTTAATTATTTAATTATCAAATTAGCCGCAAACACCTATAAACCAATGCGAAACTTTACTTAAATTACAAATTTATAGAATGATAACTCAAATATGAAGCAATCTTTGGCAACAAATGAAAAATAAAGAAAATATGAACTCCAATGGCATAAACAGAAGTCTGAATTTATAGTAACACACACACACACACACACACACACACACACACACACACACACGCACACGCACGCACATACACACGCACATACACAAACGCGCACACACATCTAAATACACTTATGTGTGTGGTGTGGTGTAAGTTTGCATTGTATTCCTTTATTTTTTGCATTGTAAATGTTGTTGCTATGTTTGTATAATGATGTAACTTCTGTTTGTGTTTAACCGTTTGTATGTTGATGCCAGTTTGTATGTTTGTATGTTAATAATGTATATTTGTATATCAACAAAAGTTTGTATGTATGTCTGTTTGTATTTATATAACTTTTTGTATGTCAATATGTATGTTGGTTAACGCTATACAATCTTTTTTGTATTGTAATCAATTTGTGCTAATGGGCATTGTGTGCCTATGCTGGCACTAATGGAAAAAAATAATTAAAAAAATTCATTTGGTTGTTTTACTGCATTAAGCTTTTGTTGTCTTTTTAGCGAATTCGTAATGGGTTCCTTTGCTTTTTCAGCGTTTCATGTATATTTAGCTGGCTTGATCGATTATTATTTATTAATTATTTTTTGGAGAAAAATCAACATTTTTCATCGCAAGAGAGAGAGAAGAGAGAGAGGAGAGAGAGAGAGAGAGAGAGAGAGAGATAAACACACAAACACACACACACATACAAACAATTATCATATAACAATTTGCACAATAATGTACAAGTCCCAATCTAAATTATTTCCTAAGTACTTATCAGATATACTAATTGAGCCTAAACGTCCCGATTTTCGATTTTTAACTTCTGTTAAACACTTTTCTGGTAAATCTGCGTTTGATTTTTTGGTTCTTTCCTCTCGAACTCTCTATCCACTTCTCTGACTACTTCTCCATCACTTACAAAGTTCCGAGCGGATCTCAAGACCCATCTTGCGTGTGTGTGTGTGTGTGTGGATGTGTGTGTGTGTGTGTGTGTGTGTGTGTGTGTACGAAAGGATTGGTTCACATTTTGTATCACATTTTATATCAATTCATATATTTCTTGGTGCACTTCAATATTTTTATATTTTTTTCACTCATCCATTCACCGTCCTATGCTTGTTCATTCTTCCGGATCGCACACACCAATCACTACCAGCTGCCCAACAATGGAGTCATCAATTTTTTCTATCTCGTGCGGTAATGCATTCCAAGCTTGCGAAACAATACTTTATTACTTACCTAATTGAATACACACACGTCATACACAAGCACAAACGCAGATAAACACACATACATCCACACACACACATACACACACACACACCCACACACATATATATATATATATATATATTCATATATATTCATTCATTTATTTATTCTACTAAGTAGTACATTCCAATGACTCTCTAAACGTTTCAACTTCAAATAGATTTATTACTATGATTCTGATTTTATTGAATTAAATTTAATTGTAAAAAGATTCTTAATAGCTAAAAATACTAAAACTAATTACCTACAATCATAATTTTATTTATTTTTTTAAATGAAATGTCAGAGAAATAATTTGTAAATAAAAAAATTCATCCTTACTTTTACATCAGCGGTGCTGGGATGAAATTTTCTCCATCGAGTTTCCTTCTTTCTACCATTTTAATGTTAGCATCAATCGACCCTTGTGCAGCTGCAGACAACGTTCCAGAAAGTTCGTCATACATTATTTATAATAATATTTATAATATATGTGAATTAATTATTATAATTATAATATAAATATTATTATAAACATATTGTATTATGTTACAATGGTTAAATATTTATACAAGTACTTTTAGTATAAATAGACGTTTAATACAATTTAATAGTTAAAAAAATTATACTATACTCTAAAGAAATGTTATAACAGCGCAGAGTAGATGCCCACTCTCTGATTGGCTGGCGTTCGACCAATCATGTTACTTTATTTCAACTGTAACAGCATCCACTTTTTACGAAGCACTCAATAGTTGTCTGAACATGAAGAGCCTATTGGTCAGCGTTGGATCAGTGGAAGAGTCAAGTTTCTTGGTCGAAAAAAGGTTGAAAAATTTTTCTGAATTTTCAATTTGATTGTCGGGAATTTTTTTATATTTTCGCCATTACACCCTCGAGCATATGATTAATTTGGACCTCTTGATTTGAAAAATTGTCGATATGAAACATCCACGAGACGTCTTTCTAGAACTAATCATTAATTTAGAATTTTTATTTTTTCCCAATTTAAAAAAGATTATTTCTACGTCTAATAGTATTCTAAAAGAGTTGTGGAGTAATTCTATTCTTGCCAGACACACCACAGTTCCAATTTCTAACTTTGAATGACAGTTACGATTGAAAGCAAACTGATTGAATACATTTATAATAATATTTATAATAAATGTGAATTAATTATTATAATTATAAGTATTATTAGTTATATTATGTATTATGTTACAATTGTTAAATATTTATACAAGTACTACAATCAGTATTTAGTAATGTTTTTAGTTTAAATAGACGAATTGAGTAAATAAAAACGAAATAAATTGAATACCTACCCACCGACACGCTATCATCCTGGCGAATGCAGTAGCGAGAACGATTATTGGATCGGCATGTACAGACTGAGTTGTAGCAAGAATGAATCACACAGCTACTGGCTGGACGGTTCCAACTTTGATTTTGTCAACTGGATGACCAGCGAGAGTGAACCGAATGAAGACACGTGTTGTTCGAGGATTGTAAATGGAGGAATGTGGAGGGATAAGTTTTGCCATTATAATGGATGTTTCTACATTTGCGAAAAGCCGGCTTCAACGTTTAAGTGTTAGGTTTTTGTTTTTCACATTGTTTTTTTTGAGTGTTTTTTTTCAGAAATGAATCAAATCTATCGAAATGCAGTGATTTTTATAGTGTAGACCAATTTGTGATATCTTGAAATGTACACATTCGTATGTGCACGTAAGCGCGACAAGTACAAGTTTTTTCATGATTCTGAAATTTACACAGACAGGAGACAGATAGTGTTTGAACCAGGTCATCTCATGTTAAAAACGCAAAAAGAAGCGCTCTAACCAGCTGAGTTAACAATTTTTAATAATGGGTTAATAAACACGGTACAATTTGTGACACCGTACAGTGCAAATAAAGGGAAGAGCGTACAGACGCCTGGCTGACAGTTACGTAGGAAGCGATAGTTTGGAGGTGGTGTACAACAAGAGATGTTTGGTGCAGTTTTGCATGGTGACGTGCCTGCAAAACTGGATATGTGCTGGATTCAACATGCGACCGGCGCTTGGTGGCGATGGTGGCAGCAGTGTAGTGGTTGATGGCGGTGGTGGAGTTGCTGGATGCAACTGTGAACTGAAAGATGCCAGAAGCTGGCTGACCTCAGAACCTGTGCCAGGAGTTGGTGCCAGTTATTGGAGCTACCCCATCTACGGTTATGATTTTTAATCTGGCTCGAATGTGTTTTGACTTTGCGAATTTATCCGCATTATGACAGTGCAAATAATAAATAGACGTATGATATGACCAGCAACAATGTATTATGGTCTCTGAATGTGAGTAAAAAAACTACTTATATTATAATCACATATACAATCTACATCACTTGTATCAATCAATGTAGCTTTATTTTTTTCCTTATATGAACATATTTAATTGTGCTCGTGCGTTTGCGTGCGTGTGTTAAGGTTTCTAAATTATGATTTTTTTCCATTTTTTTCCATTATTTCTTTAGAATATTTTATCTCGCTTCTATTGTTTGGTGGATCTCATCAGCCGTTTCCGACAATACGAACCTTACGCGTGGTGCATTCGCCAAATGCATTTCGATCAGCAAATATCTCAGTCAATTAAATGTCACAGTATATTTTTTTTTAATAATATAAACCCACAAATACACACACGCACAGATATTTATTTTATATGGTGTTTTGCTAGCATTTTAAAAAATTATTTCAGCTATCTTTATACTTTTTTTAAAGGAAATAAAATCTTTTTTCCTTTCAAATGCCTCTGCGTGCAAAACTCATTAGTTCGTCTCTGTCCCAATAAAACGCCTCAAATTTTACATACCAACAAATACAAAAATCATACCAAAATTACAAAAAAATAGTAATAGTACCAAAAGTACATGGAACACAATATGATGGAAGACAATAGATAACAATCCAAATGTTTGAAAGAATTTTCAATCCTAAGCTTTTAAGTAAATGCATACCTTTAAGGATCCATGTATTCGTGATTGCTAGACATATTTAACAGTTTAAGCTTAGTTTCAGTTAAAATTTAAAGGCATTTATAGCAGAATTTAGTGCTAAAAACTATCTATAATTATCATTTTTGTTAATTTGTTTTCATTAAATTACCAAAAATTCGAAATAATTTGACGGTTTTCGGTAAAATTTGTAAAATGGCGTTTGTTAATATGGTACAAAGTTTCATTGGTTATCACAATCTCATTAATTCATTTTTCTTTGTGGCCATCGTGGTCAAATTTGTGATGTTTCAAAACCAACTGGGCGACGTTTTTGGAGGTGAGGTGGAGAGTTTTTTCAAGTTTTTATTTACGATTACTTTTTATTTTAAATAATTTGGTAAAATATTTTGTGAATGAAATAAAATAAAATTAAGAAATTAATGTATGAAATATTGAGAACATTTGTACGTTTCACATAAAACAGCATTTGAATGAATTCATTTGAAAAATAGATGTCCTATTTTTTATAACATTAAACAACCAATAACGTGCATCTACCTACAATATAATATTTTAAATAACTTGTATCATGGCACAATAATATTTTTCGAGATATACATAACTCAACCAATCACATTCAGGGCCGGCTGGCTGCCCCAATTCTACATGGCAAAACTTCGGCCAATCATGTTACTTCTTTTCATCTGGGTCCGTCTTATTTGACGAAGCCCGTAACATATGCCATAGCATGGATAGCTGGTTGGCGAGTATTTCGTCATCGCAAGAAAATGCTTTCATCGTTCAGCGGTGATTTTTTTTGGCGGCGTGTAAAATTATTTTCTGTGTTTTTCGTCTCTGTATAGTTTCTTTAAATGTCTTACTCAGAGATACAACGAACCAACCTACGCATTATATGATTTTTCCTATAATAGATATGTAGAGATCTCTCTTCATTCAAACTCGTTCACTGCCTGGCTATACTTGGTGATTCCGAAATATGAATTTCTTCGGAGGTCACATGCGCACTTCAATCTCTAACTTCACAGATTGACAAATTCACAAAGCAATTAATAATTTGGCTAATCACTCAAAAGTTTCTAAACAAAACAGCAAACACCGCCCACCAAATAAATATCAATCGCTAATTAATCAGCATGGATCCAGCAGTGAACGGGTATTGGATCGGGATGTACAGACTACAGTGCCTGCTGGCTGACGTGAAACACATCTACTGGCTGGACAACAGCGATTTCAAGTTTTCCAATTGGGATTCCGGAGATCCGAACGACGACGCGTGTTGCGTCAAGTTAGCGGACAGTCAGAACTGGAGGGACAAGGGATGTGCTTCCTTCCAGAACTTCATCTGCGAAAGACCGATCTCAATGGAATGTCCGTCCTGCTGCTTTGATCAGTCATTTATAGTGATGTTGACGATTTTGGAATTAAATTGTAATTAATTTAAAACACTTGGTTTCATCACAGAACTTGATGTTTTGTTTAAAAATTTGTTTACAGCCTGAAAAATCATTATTAATGTGCCCAAATTTTTGCAGTACCTTTTGAAAGAAAAGCCACGAAACGTTTGACGAACAAGTACATAGTGAGCGACAGTTTGGAGGTGGTGTGGAACAACAGGAGATGTTCATCGCTCTACTGCTTGTCCATCTGCCTGCAACAGTCGGTCTGTGCCGCATTCAACATGAGACCGGGGCTTCAAGGCGGATGTATCTGTGAGCTGAAGGATGCCAGAAGTTGGTTGACTTTTGACACCGTTTCTGAAGTTGGTGCCAGTTACTGGGGTTACCCTATCCATGGGTATAATTGGTCGCGCTGATGGGGCCGTAGATATGATGAACCTTCATTCTGGTTACTCTTTTCAAAAAAAGAATAGAAAAACTTAGCTAAAACTTTTCATTAGTCATGTTGTATGTTTATGTGAGCAGAGAAACTTGGTAGCACCTGTGTTTGTGGAACAATAGTTAGTCTATTTGCTAGCAATTCAATGTTGACTCGTAAAACTCACTGTACAATGCCTTTGTTTATGTTGAAATAAAATGGGCTACAAAAAAAATTCATTTGTTAAAACTCATCCCATTAAGTTATATAATATTTGGTTTTGAAGTTTAGTACACAAAACTAAGCTGCCCACCGAGAAGTAATTAGAAACTTTACAATGATAAACCACGATGATATGGGTGAGATTGATGATGTTGACAATGATGATGGTGGCGAAATTGTTACTTCGATCAAAGAGAGCAAAAAATTATAATATTCGAACATTATTTTGAATTTTTAAATAAAATGAGGGATGGGATATCCTTGCGTTCAAACCTGGTTGTAGCAGTCGTAGCAACAGCAGACGCCAACCAAAAAATATACATTCACTCAAATTTATGTGTATTTGGATGTCATCTAATTTTTGTTTCTAGGCATAAATAGATGAATTATTTAACCATTTGCAATCTATTCATCTTCTTTGGTGCCTGTGTGTTCATATCGTTGCTTTGGTTACTCATCATAGCAACATGTGCTCAAATATTTAAGAGTATACACACACATACATACACACACTCACACATACATACATTGTACATGCATACCGACACACACACATGTGTATGCATACATACATACATACATGTATGATTTATGCAAATATATGCAAACAAACACTGCCGTATTTATAAATAGATGTTTATGAATGTGTTGTATATTTTTATTTCTATCCAATGTTAACTTTATAAAAGTTATTAAAGCCGAAAAATTCAAAAAAAAATTTCGCAGAAAACTTACAACAACAAAAACAACAGCAACGATATCAACAGTCGCAATAACAAAAACAACAACAACAACAATAATAATAATTAATGATGTCGTCAAATCGCAAGCCCTATCCGTACCCACAATACGAGGGTGATGATCAATTTATAGGGCCGGATCATGATCATAATAAAAAGGTTTATTATTATTATTGTTATTATTATTATTATATTATTATTATTGTTGTTGCTGTTGTTGTTGTTGTTGTTTTTTATCCGAACTTATTCATTATTACCATACTTATTTGTAAACCAGCAAAAAAAATTACGCCAGTAATTAATTATTAATTATAATATATTTTAATAACTATAATTAATTAATAGATAAGTAGGATTATAATTATAATATAATAATTACTATTATTATTTAATCTTATTATTAACAGTATTATTAAATTATAACCACGAAATGCTGACATTAAATAACATTAGCGCGTTGCTCAGTCGAATTCTGGCAACAACGGTGATGACATCAACAACTTTAACAATAGTTACATCAACAACAACAACAACAACAATCACATCAACATCAACAACAACATCAACATCAACAACAACAACATCAACAACAACAACATTAAAGACAACCCTTGGGAACGTTTGAATTGTACCAAGACCCATTCTAAACTTTTGAAAGAAATCTCAAACAACTACAACAACGACGAAGACGATGTAGCTGCTGCTGCTGATGATGACTTGACCCATAGAAAGGTCACTGGAAATAAGGATAGCCTGGATTTCATCCTGGAATCCGAATACAACCATCATAAACATTTTTTGAAAAATAAAAATGAAATCTGTCTACAGAGAAGAACACTTGACATCACTGATGGCAACACCTCTGAGTTCTTAATAATCTTTATTATTCATTTTATTTTAAATTTTAGCTGCTAATGGATAGATGATTAATAAAATTTTAAAATTATAGATAAATAATAAAAAATATAATTTAATATAGCCAATAATATATTATAACACTGCCAATTATTATTATTCATTTTATTTTAAATTTTAGCTGCTAATGAATAGATGAATAATACAATTTTAAAATTATAGATAAATAATAAAAAATATAATTTAATATAGCCAATAATATATTATAACACTGCCAATTACAATACTTTAATATAGATAATATTATAATTTAATATAGCCAATTGGATAAAGCTTTCAAAAACTCGAACGTTAAAATTTTGGCGCCAAATCATCCTCTAAGAATTATATGCAGTGCTAATAAAAGAAGTCCTCACAGCTCTAAGACCGTCATATGTCAGTTAAGTATTATTTTTATTGTTATTTATAGCATATTGTTATAAATTTTAATTATTATTACTTGAATAATATTTAGTAACGAGAAATTATTTGTACAGCCAGCCACCACACTCAAACTACCAACAATGGATTTGCACGTAAACCAGACGGTGGATTCTATAACTCATAACACATAATTAGGATTAATATATTTATATAATTGAGTAACATAATTATCTCATTATATATTTGGGAGCATTATATCGACTACCTATATGTACATATTTCCATTTTTTTTACATAGTATCTTTAATCGTTTGAAGTACAATTCTAATTGCTTGTCGCACTTGTCACATTTAAAGTCATGGTTTATTTTTAGGTAAATAAGTTCGTTGTGTGTGTGTGTGGTGTGTGAGTGAGTGTGTGTGTGTGTGTGTGTGTGTGTGTGTGTTTGTGTGGTATGTCACGAATTTACAGTTGGTTCCGCGGTCAAAGTGCCAGGTTATGTGTTAAGTGCTCCTTACTTCGACTTCAATTCCTGCGTGTTGATGAGCCCAGTCAAAACGAAAAAACATCTTATTAGGATTAAATCAAAAGAAACAATTGTTCATTAAAACAAACGACTGAGCCATGAAAGTACGAATTAAAATTTAAAAACATCGATGGCCACCATGTTCTGGTATTAATATGTAGTTGGACCATGGAACTTTTCATTAGTTTAATCTTTCGGTAATCTTCCATTGCACTTTACAGGGAGCTGGGTCGGCATTGGCGTCATACATTTTATCTTTTTTAAATAATTTATTATATTTGATTTGTTAAGTGACGGAGAAAGTGAATAATTATATAATAACGCAGATGTTTACTGGCCTTCGTTAAATTCCATGTTTAGTAAAATGCTATAGTCTAATTCCTATGTCAAAATTTCAAAAGTTGGATTTGAACGGCGTTTACAATAAAAGATGATAATTAAAATAATGAGCGACAACTTATTTTACTACAATACGATTCATCATCTCCATTCTATATGAAAGACTCCAGCCATATATATATAGAATATCCAAACAAATTCAATTGCATGTTCGCCTTCAATTAGCAACGAAATTGTATTGCATTTGTTCTTTGCTATCGATATATAGTTTGCGAAAAGTTTAGTAAACATTGTATTACTTTATTATTATTTTATTAAAATATTAATTATCACTTTTTGGCAGTCTAAATTTTAAACTCGTATTATTATATCAACATTTTAGCGAATTTTGCACAAAAATTTGCACGAAATGGATGGTGGCGGACGACATAGTAGCAGTCGAAGCAGAGAAAGAAGACGCAAGGACAAGTATGAAAAATATGATTACTCAGCAAAGAGTAGTTCCCAGAAAAAACTCGACTCTGAAAAAGCGGGTGCACTTGAGAAAAGTTCATTTTATTTTGGAGAGAAATCCCATAAATACGGTTACAAAGAAATGATGAGTTCTACCACAGAAAGGAGATCGGACGACTCTAGATTTTCCACCCTGGTACGAAAAGTGACTCAAGATGATGATCTGGACAGGAGGTTCACCGCAGTGGATAACCTCAAGGAATACTTAACCATCAAAGATAACTATCTGACGATTTGTGACATGGCCGATAAAGTTATTTTAAAACTGCAAAATGTCTTTTATGAAAGAATTTCCAGAGATTTCAAAATTGAGGTCGCTAACTGCATTGGGTCCATCTGTTTCATTTACACTCAGCTCTATGCAACCAGTAAATTTTTTGACTGGTTGTTTCCGAAATTGCAAACAGATGATGCCAACATTTTCTATCTGCACTCAATAATTCAGGCACTAAAGTTAGACTGCAATTCAGATGTCTTCAAAACTTTCATGCACCTCATAGTCACCAGATGTCAGTCCATCCTGGAAAGTGTAGAACTGCCAGAACATTTAGAAGTTATCATAAACATCATGGTCGTAATCTCAAAATTGTACCCAGCTTCGTTTAAAAAATGTTTCAGGGACACAGTGGATGTGTTGGTCGGCTGGCACATTGACACAACGCAGAAGGAATCTGTAACTCATTTCATCTCCACTTCCCTCATGTCATTTCAAACTTTTTGGAGCACTGATCTGACATTTACATTCCACCTTCTAAACCAGTTTTTAGAAGACATGGAAACTTACATCAACGATTTAAACACTAAACCTAGCAATGAATTATTAGTAAGTAAGACAGCTGCCCTATTTCAAGTTTTCACCACTGTTGTCGTCTGCCTTGGAGATGCCTCTCCAGTTGAAAATCAATATCTTCTAGAAAAATTTGAACGACTGCTTGCCTGTTCTAAAAATTTCATTGATGAACACCGAGATGAAAAAACTCTTTTACTGGCCAACAAATGCATCAATGCCATTATCATCAAACTTGGTGCCATGGATTGCCCCCACCAGAACACCACCCTGTTTGACTACATCTCAAGTCAGTACCTCAGAGATAAAGTATGCGATTTTGATTACGTCGAATCATTACTTCTCATAACTGGAGTAGTCCTTGACATCTTGAATACTAAAATACCTGTTGAGTTTGTACTGAAAATTCTCTCAGAAAAATCTCAACTGCCTAATCTTACACTAATTATCCCCAGAAAGCTTATGAAAAACCTTCTAACTACCTACCAATCGCTAACAATGCTTAAGAGTTTACCATTATTATCAGAGTCCTATAAATTAATTCTCTGCCAACTGGAGAGAGCTTACAACGTTTTAATGCTAGAAATGCAGAGGAACAGCGCCACTAATAACAATTCTACTCTCTCCAATGAGACTATCACATCTGGTGGTGATAGTGATGATGATAGTGGCGGCGATGATGATGATAACGATGTTTCTTTAGAAAATTTTGATCTGAAATGCTTGTTGATAGAGGGATATCGTAACCCATTCAATGATGCCGAGTATACAGAGAGCCAGGCTGAATCGATCCTCTTGTTTGATGTCTGTGTTCTCGTCGAGATTGCTAACGCTAAGGGAAACCTCTTCGCAGTGTGTTTTTGCTTTTGTTTATTCATTCATTTGTTTGTTTGTTTGTTCATTTATTCATTTCTTGGGGTTTTTCTTATTCAATTACTTTTTTTTCACTTGTTTTTTCTCTCATTCATACATACTCATTCATTCACTCATTCATTCACTCATTCATTCACTCATTCATTCAGATGTATGCCCTTTCTCCAAGCATATTCTCTCTCTTTTCTGAAAAGTTGAACATAATGAGCGAGATGCTGATGGAGTATTACCCTGTTGTTCATAATGCTATTTTGAAAGCACTGTATTCCCACTGCTGTAGGTCGGTCATTTGGTTGATTGATTTTGGATTGTTTCGTCAAGTTATTAGTTGACTGGTTCATTGAATGGTTGGCTGGTTGATTGATTGAATAATTGGTTGTTTATTAGTTGGTTGGTTGGTTGGCTGATTGATTGATAGGTTGATTAATTCTTTAAATGATTGGTTGATTGAATAATTTATTTATAGTTAGTTGGATGACTGGTTGATTAGCTGATTGATTGACTGATTAATTGAAGGATCAGTTAAATGTTCATTTAATTTATTCGTAATTTTGACATTGTTCAATTGACAAAAGAATTAAAACGCTAATTTATTTGTAAATACGGAAGAACGCAACTCACAAACTTGTATTATTCATGAATACAGAGAAGCCCAACTCATAAACATAAATTATTCACACACACACAGACACAACCACTTTGCGTTGTGCAGCAAGTTGATAGCACAGGCGACGAACGAGATCAACAACACGACGTTCGATGACAACCTGACAATCATTTTCAACATCGTGGCCTTCCTACTTAACAGTAATGCGGTTCAACACGATAGCAGGTTTGTCACGGCTACGTTAAAACTGCTGCTGCTGCTACCGTTACTACTGCAGCTGCCACTTCTGCTTCATTCACTCATTAAATGATTGGTTAATTGATTTATTAAGCAGAAAGATCAATCAACTATTGCTGCTACTTGTAAAACCAGTTTGGCAGGAAAATTTCATTGATGGATTTTTTGTAGCACAAAGTTTTTAAATACTGAGTATGCACTGTGCATCTCTATTTTGTCGGAATGTGATGCTGTTATTGTGATTTAAGTCGGTCGTTTTTTGAAAAATTCATCCAGTAACCAAGATTTTGAATAAAATTCGGTAAAACTTAGTTTTTTTAGTCAAAAATCAACCAAAAATTGACATGATGAACCATAAAAAAGGTCACCATCCTAGTTTTAGCAACACCAGTACAAATATATGACAGAAGCCAAGTTACTGCATTTTAAAACATTTCAATAAAAACCATGAAAGTAACGATGCAATAGCAAATATTTTAATTATAATATTTTTATTATTGAATAATTACTTGAAAAAGATTCCTTCATAATTACTACTGCAGATGTTTGCTGTTGAAATGGTCTCTGGAGCTGATTGAGCAGTTCAATCAGACAAGGGTAATGTATAGTAATGGAATATTTTTGCAGTTCTTAAGTGCTGTGATCGAAAACGGTTTGTTGTTTGTTGTTGTTGTTTGTTGTTGTTGTTGTTGCTGTTGTTGTTTGCTGTTGTTGTTTGCTGTTGTTGTTGCTGTTGTTGTTTTTTGTTGTTTGTTGTTTCTCAATCTTTCTCAATCTCCAACGACCATCACCGTTAAAGTAATCATTCTCGCCAGAACATGATCAACAACTTCATTTCTCCATCATAACCATTAGGAATATAATTATTAATGTCTACTAAATACATTTACTTTACACACACACACACACACATACACACACACACACACATGCCTACAAGAGCAATCCATTTTCTAAACATTAACATAAGTAGAAGCAAAATCAAGAAATAAAAATTGTCCCAGAGATTACAAAATTTAGGATTAAATTATCCCACCGACAAAAAATTCAGGATTCAATCCCGATCATGAGATCAGCTTAGCCTGTTACGTCTGCCTGAGTTCGTTCTTCCAGCACTGCCAAGAGTTTAACAGCTACACAGTTTACGTTGCTCTGGAGCTGTGCTGCCTGAAATTGAACGACCGAAATTTACTAGTCAGGCAAAAATATTTGCACCTTATGGGGCTCTTGCCGTTGGCTGTTTTGAAAAAGTTTGTTGACTGACTGACTGGTTGATTGATTGATTGGCTGATTGATTGATTGGTTGATTGATTGATTGATTGATTGATTGATTGATTGATTGATTGATTGATTGATTGATTGATTGATTGATTGATTGATTGATTGATTGATTGATTGATTGATTGATTGATTGATTGATTGATTGATTGATTGATTGATTGATTGATTGATTGGTCGATCGATCGATTGATTGATTGATTGATCGATTGATTGATTTATTGATTCATTCATTTATTTGTTGTTGGCTGATTGACTGTCTTGGTTGGTTGTTACTTTCACTATCACCGCTTTCACCGCGCAGAGTCAACTACTTATTCCTGAATGTCATGCAAATGAATGCCTCGAGAGTCGCCAGACACAACAAGACAAACAACGATCTTACGCTGTCGAATCTTAAACAAAACGCTGTCGGCTGTAGTAGTAGCAGCAGCAACAACAGCAGCTGCAACAAGATTAAAAATAATGGCGTCATCAACTACACAAGCAGTGGCAACAGTAGCTACAGAAACATAACGAGACTACTGCATAGGTACATCATGTCTAATGATGTTTGTGAAAAGTTCAACGCCGTCAACTTCGTTGTCATCGCGTCGTTCATCCTCACACAAGGTCACATCACTAAAAATGACCTTCCCTTCGATTGGCTAGAGCGGCAGTATTTTATGTGTCTCACCAACCAATCAGAGACAAGTATTCTGGAGGGGGGTGGGGACAAAGTCGACCTTAGAGAGATGATGTCGTCGGTTGTCAGCAGCAATATGGACCTCCAGTGGCGTTGGGCGGCTTGGTACGCATCGAAGTTCTGCGTGGATTCTCGCTTGAAGACGCCACTCGGCTCCAAACCACAAGATACATTCCTCGCCATTGAGAACACTATAAAGTATTATCTGACGCCGTATTTCTCGTCATCGCTGGTGCCGACTGCAGCGTCTGTTAGCGCCGAACAGTCGAAGGACTCGATGACAAAGTTGAGATTGTTGTTGATGTTTGCTGAATACTTGGAGAGGCATTTGTACAACGCCGTAGAAGGATGCGCTGTTGCCATGCAACCGCCTAACAAGTTTGTCCGGTCCTTCTTCAGAACCAACTGGGCGACCTGTAGGGAGTGGCTTAACAGGATTCGCATGCCAATCATCATCATTTCCCACTGCCTCGACCAATCAGAGCAGGTGGTTAGGTACTCGTATGAACTACTTAACGAGGTCAAGGAGGGCACAACTGTCTGCTCGAGTGCTGATGTACTCAAAATGCTCACGATTCTTTTGAATTCGTTAATCAACTTGAAATCGCCCGACGCCATTCAGGGCTTGTGGGCTTGGTCGCTGGATCGGTGGACCAATCAGAATTTTGATTGGATGAGGCACGCTGCCGATGTGGCTCGCGGGAAAATTGAAAATTCGGTGGCCGGCTTCAAATCCTGCTACAAAAAGTTAACCACCTCACCCGCGTTGGAGAAAGTGGGTGACGAAAATAACAACAACAACAATAATAATAATAATAATAATAATAGCGAAGGAGATGAGGGCAGGCAATCTGCAGAGCCAGTTGTCTTGGAATTCATCGAGAGGCAGATTTTAAACAACTACCTGAAGTTAGCCGACTACAGGGAGGCACTGAGGTGGAGCGCGTTCGCTCGCAAGACAAGAAATCTCAGCGTGAATGATGGCGACGATGACGTCATTTGTGATAAGAACGACGACGATGATGGTGATGAGGATGGGATGACGTCATCGTCTGCGTCATCGCCCTCCTCCTCCTCCTCATCAACGTTTTTCTTCGACGCCGACAATCACAGATTCGTCACGAACTTGAAACATTTCAATGAGTTTGAATTTGATTACATCAAATGCAAAACTAAAGACAGCGATGGTGGTCGCGGTGGTAGCAACAACAACAACAACAAAAATAATAATAATAATAATAATGAGGACGACGGAGGTGAAGATGAAGAAGATGGTTATAAAAATGTCTTTTCGGACGTGACTTTTAAGCAAAGCTGGGATGTGAATTATATCCTAAATAAAATGGAAGATGCGTTCATCACGGCAGTGGCCGAGTTATTCAACAACGCCACTACTACAACTGCTGCCACTAACGCTGCCACTGCCGCATCTACTACTACTACAACTACTGCTGCTGCTGTTGCTGCTAACAAAAACAACAGCAGCGTCGTTATCAATAGTAAGAATGGTAGTATTCTTAATAAAAGTACCATCGGTAGTAGTAAAAGTGATGCCAATGCCGATGGAGCTTTTGTCAAATCAATGTAAGAAACCTCTTTTCACTCATTTAATTCATTTTATTGAATAACCGTATATATAACTATATATAACCAATAACTCTACATAACTATATTTAATTAGTTTTTTTTCGTGATGGCATAGAATAAAGGGGGGGGGGGAATTTTTTACATGCGGTCACCCATCCTGACGACGACCACCAGTTATAAGCGGTGGGCCTAGCCTTTTGCTCAAAAGCACACAAGGCAGCGGGGATGCAGGTTTATGGCAAGCCCAGGACATATAACTATATATGAATCTATATAACCCTATATAACTATATATAATCCTATATAACTCAATATAACTATATATACACACACACATATATATATATATATATATATATATATATATATATACATATTAATCTAACCCTAACCCACAAATTACGGATGATAATTTTAATTTTTGTTCAATAACAATTAATAATAGATTATATAAACATTTATATAGCGCCAAATTACCCAAAAAATCGACTTCACCCTTGTTAAATAATACAGAAAATTATTTATTTTAAGAGCTCATGAGCAGACATTTGCTTGTCTTATTATTTCATTTATCAATAACTGACTTATTAAATAGTATTTTAATTATAGAAACGTAATTAATTAATTATTTAATTAATTAGTTATTCAATTAATTAACTAACTTATTAACCAATTTGTTTCATTTCCACAGCAGAAAATGTCATAGGACATTAGCAAGATGCCTGAAGGTGTGCCAGCACATACTGACAACAACAACTCACTGCCGACCACTACTCTTCAATCAGCGAGCCTACCTTCTATGCAACAAAATCAACCTACTAACTCAAAATTTTGACAATTTCTACAACAATAACAACAACAATAACAGCAATAACAACAATAACAGTAATAAGTTTTGCCTAAACTCTTGGCCTAATGGAATTTTGGTGGATGATTGCTGTCGAACTAGTAACTGCAATATTGATGGATTGTTGGGTGTTCTGCAGCACTATGAACTTCAGCAGAAGATTGAGAATCTTTTATCTTCCGGGGTCCATAATAATAATAATAATAATAATAATAATAATAATAATAATAATAATAATAATGGTGGTGGAAGTAACGCTACTTCTAAATTGTTAGGTAGGGATTTATTTTTTGTTCAGCTGGTTGTAAGGACGACGACGATGATGATGATAGTGATGATGACTATGATGATGATAGTGATGATGATGGTGGTAGTAATTACGATACTTATATGTTCATAATTTTATTATAAATTTGAGTTATTATTAATCTCGAAATTTTTTGCAACAGAAAAAAAGATTCCTCCTTTCTTCCCAGATCTAACCAGCCAGGTATCAGCACTAAGATTGGACACCATCAAAAATGCAGGTCGCCATGCCAACCACAAACTTTGCAAAAACCTTCTTCTAAACCAAATGCAGCATCTTTTTCCCGCCATAACAACGATTCCCGCCAAAACGAAACCTCCCGCCAGTTTTGCCGATAAAAATAGAGATGGACCGTTATCAACGTTGTTGTGTGAATTGAAATCTTTGAATTCTGCCAGTTTGATTAATTCGCCTGCTCTTCTTGTTGACAAGGTAGTTAAATTGGTTTGCTGGTTGGTTAAATAGTTGATTGGTTTGCTGGTTGGTTAAATAGTTGATTGGTTTGCTGGTTGGTTAAATAGTTGATTGGTTTGTTGGTTGATGATTCATTAGTAGTTCAATAATTCAAATCTTTTAAAAGAAATAAAATTGTAAACACTGAAAAAATTGACTTCAAAATTATTATCAACTAACCGATCATACACGCATACATACTCATACACCCACAAATACACACACACAAACAAACACACACCCACAAACACACACCCATAAACACACACACACAAACACACACACAAACACATACACACGGACTCAAACACTGCAGTTGAACATGGAAAGACAGACAGCTAAGTTGTTATACAACCAAGGTAGAATGCAAGAGGGTATCAACATATTCGCGTCGTCAATAACCTTTGCTCTAAACTTCTTAAAAAACAACAACGCGACGACATCGGCGACAACCACTTCAGCGACAACAGCTTCTGAAATCCAAAAGTTAGCCGTCACTAATATGGCCACTGAGTTGATTTCGAAGTCCGTAAATACAATGGTCTCGTGGCTGGTGTCCGAGAATAAGTCGATATTAAAAGAAAATTTTATGTTTTCTTCGTTGACGTCATTTCTGGTGTCCTCCTCATCATCCTTTCCGACGTCTTTGACCTCTTCGGAAGTCGGAAATAGTTTGATCGGAAGTATGAAGAGTCTGATGTCGAGCATATCCTGCTCGCAATCCACTTTTCCTCAGTGGGGTTCCATTTCAGATTCGGGTCGGTTCTAAGTTTTGAGTTTACTTTTTGTCATTATTCAATTAATCTACTGAATCATCATTCTTTCATTCGTTCATTCATTCCTTCCTTCATTCATTCATTCACTCATTCATTTATATTTCAATTCATCTACAATTCACTGACCAATCACCGAATACAGATAACATGTCTGAGTTGGATCTGCTGATAAAA